ATGATTCAAGTAACCATCAGTGTAATGACTGCAGCAACAGGAAAATAATTACAAAGTCTATTTCTGTTAAGATTTTGCTGTATCAAGTTACTTTATTCAAAAGTATAATTTAAAATGTGTATCTGTGACAACTTCAACTGATTTTTTTTTTAGACATGTGACTTCTACTCTTTACTGAGATAAAAAACAAACAACTCTTAAATGGTTGTCATATTCACCTACACATTCCTAAGAGTATAGTCATGCGTCATTTAACATCTACAATACATTCTGTAAAACCAGGCGTTACAAAATTTGAACTTTGCAGGTACACAATTTTGTAGTCTAGTCCTGCCTTTTTTTTTTTTTTTTTTTTTAAGTGAATCTCAAACAAACTGCCTTAGCTGAGAGGGATTTGCCTTTCTGTTGGATCCTCAATCCACATCATTAACAAATTATTTCCCCATATCTGATATCCATTCCTCTGGCATTTTTATTAGCCTTGTAGTTTTCAGGGCAGCAGATCCTGCAATAACTTGGAGAATTTCTTTGCTGTGGGGGATTGTTGTGATTGCTGAATGGGACATTTCTAAAACATGAGCAGTAGCCTTCACTGCTTTCCTACCTTCCTGTTTAATAACTTTTTGTTTCACTTCCAAATTGAAACTTTTCCTTTGTACCTCTTGCTGCTACTACCACTAGCGTTGGTCTTCCCGCATTTGGGAGCCATGATGCATAGTATACGTGACCGGAAGTTGCTGCCTAGAGTTGAAGTATACACTATTATATGATAAACATTTTAGACAGAACGCACAATACAATACATATATAAGCCAGTGACATAAGTGTTTATTATGACTGTCAAGACATACTAGAGTGGGTCAAAAAGTATTGCTACTAGGGTTTCTAGTTCATACATGAATTGGTTTATTTTAAACAAAACGCATTGAAACATGTTTTTGTGGTCAGTGGATGGCTGCAGACAAGTTCTCTCAGCAATACACGTGTCTTCAGTCTCCTTTGGCTGCCTTCAAAACAATGTCCAATCAAAACAGTGGCTTCAGAAGGAATCTTCTGGGCCAGTTCACTTTCAAGGCAGAGAGGTTAGCTCATAAGGTTATAGTGACTACTTTTTGGGATTCCAAAGGGGTAATCTTGTTAAGTTTTCTTGAAAGCCATAGGACAATAACAGAGGTCTAATTAGGAAGAAGGAGCTCTGGTAGCGTAGTGGTTACGAATCGGGCTGTGAACCTTAAGGTCAGCAGTTCGAAACTACTAGCCGCTCCGCGAGAGAAAGATGAGGCTTTCTACTCCCATAAAGATTTACACCCTCAGAAACCCTGTACAGGGTCGCTATGGGTCGGAACTGACTCGACGGCACAACAACAACAATTAGGAAGAAGTTTTAAGAAAACTGCATTGGTGAGAAATAGGCAGGAAAGTCGTGCAGAAGAATGTTTTCCCACCACCACAACACACCTGCTCATTCGAGAAGGATAGCAAGGGTTGTTCTACAAGAATTTCACTGGGGAAATTCACCCTATAACCCTGATCTTGCTCCTTCAGACTTCTTTTTATTCCCCAAACTCAACATTTAAAAGCAGTATGATTTGAGTTCCTAAAGGATGCCCAGATTGCCATTTTGAAATAGTCTAAATTTCAGAGTGCAGAATTCTTTGGGGATGGTTAAAGAAATGGAAACACTGTCTTTTAGATGGGCATAGTCCTAGATGGGGGATATGTCAAGAAACAATAGCTTCACATTTTGAAATTTTTGTTTAAATAAGGTTTCTATGATTTTATAGCAATAACTTTTTTTTTTTTTTACTACCAATATACAGGACAGGTTACATATATATTTTACTCTTATGCACCTAGCAATTGCCTTGTATAAAACAGACCTATATCTCATGTGTTGTATGTGGGAAACTTATTTTTGCTAAGTCCCTTTTCTCTGATCAGAATTTCTGAACTCTATTATAACCTTATGGGACCACAGACTTACATGTGGTCAGACACTACCTGAACAGATGCTATGTAGTAAATGACTGGACACCATCTATACCATAAAATACACTACATTATCCCTATGTACAAAAGTCTTTTGTCGACATTCTAAATGCTTCTTTTTTTTTTTAAAGTTTTTGTTGTGAATTGAGTAATAGTTTACATGGGAGAATATCAGTTTTATACTCATCGTTTCGACATTCTAACTGCTTCTTAATAGTTCTCTCTGCATTCAGTCTGTTTCCTAAGAATTTCTTCCACCCTTCCAAAAACAAAATATTTCTTTTTTCCTTAATTCTTCAACCAAATATGAAGGAGATTCAAAACCTTCATGGAAAACTTCCATTATCTCTTATTTCTTCCACAAACGTTTTGAAACTACCTTGTAATTCAAGCAATAAATAATAACAAGCCCCAATTTACTTCAACATTCTGTAACTGAAACTTTTATAAAAGCCACATTAGTCTATTCAATGTACCCAGCAAATTCTATACCTTTGCATATTAATTAGTTCATACTGTTTCCTAACATAGGAACCCTAGTGGTACAGTAGATTAAGCATTAACACAGTAGGCTGCTAACTAAAAGGGTAGCAGGTGGAACTAGCCAGCTGCTCCTTGATGGAAAGATGAGGCAGTCTGCTTCCATAAAGATTTAGAGCCTTGAAAACCCTCTGCAGCAAGTGTACTCTGTCCTTCTGGGTCCCTGTGAGTCAGAATGGACTTGATGGCAGAGGCTATTTCCTAACATACACTGCTCACTGAAGTTTTCTCTATCGGACTATGCCAATCTTTCCTAATTTTGAAACCTCTGTATGAGTTTTATCTCTTCCCTAAAACTCTTCTCTGCTATTCAAGCGACTTGCAGCAATTAATGTCTATTCTACTCTGCAAACATCAATACCTCATACTTTCCTTTGTATGCCTCTCAAAAAATCAAGACTATATAAACCTTTCTTTGAGCTGCCTAAGATCAATAGTTATCCTTTTGCATGTAATATGTACTTGCTAGTTTGAGTACCCCCATACCATAGACTGGATTCCTGGTGTGGCACTGTGGGTTAATGTGCTGGACTGCAAAGTTGGTCTGAACTGCAAGGTTGGTGGTTCAAGCTCACCAGCTGCTCCTAGGAAACTCTATGTAGGGTTGCTATGGGTCAAAACTGACTCGATGGCACCTAACAACAACAATACCATAGACTATTACTCAGCAATAAAAGCAACAGATCGCTGATACACCCACCAACTTGGATGGATTTCAAGGGGAACTATGCAGAGTAAAAAGCCAATCTCAAAAGGTCACAAACTGTACAATTCCATTTATATAATATTTTTGACATGACAACATTAAAGAAATGGAAAAGAGATTAGTGGTTGCCTGAAGTTAGAGATGATACGGATGAGGTGGTAAGTATGATTATGCAGGGGTAGCATGATGGAGATCCTTGTGGTGATGGAATACTTCTGCATATTGATGGTGGTACTGGTTATGCCAAATGTACATATGTGATAAAATGACAGAGAACTACACACTCACATTGTACCAATGATTTAGCCATTGAACACACTGGGTTAAGGATACACAGACCTCTGTACTATCTTTATAGTTTCCTGTGAACCTATAATTATTTCAAAACAAAAAGTAAAAAAAGAACAACAGCCAGCTTTATATTTATTTACTAAATATGCAATGTTCAAGTTAAGAATAATCCATAATTACTGGGTGAAAGAAAATTCTGGAAACTTATTTGTTATAACCTAAACATTTCTAAAGAAATAAGAGACTTTTGAAACCTACAAGTATAACTAGTGATTGTCTTTGAATATAGAGATTGGGATGTGGGGAATCAGGGATGGGGAAAAAGCTGAATTTTTACCATATACTTCTTGCATTAAGTGAATTTTTAACCAAGTGCATGTATTATTTTTAGAAACTGGTTTTAGTAAATATTGAGTAAATACAAAATTAGGTTTACAAAATATAATAATCACAATACAATCTTTTTTAAACACTGAGTTTAAGAAAAAACAAAACCCACCACAACATATTACCATTGGCTTTCAAGTCTCATGTGTATTCTTTTCCATTTCCATTCAATTCTTTCCTCTTCAACAATAAGTTATATCCTAAATTTTGTGTTTACCATTTTGCTTTATGGTTTTACCATACTTATATCCCTAAACAACATATACTCTAATATTTTTAAATATTTTGAACTTAATGTAAATAGAATCTTACCACATACATTTTTCTGTGAATTGTTTTTTCCTCTACTTTTAATACTAGGTTGTTAAAATATATTCATTTTATTGTGTAAAACTAACTCATTCATTCTCACTGCTATATGTTATATGAATACATCAAAGTTGATTTAAAAGACCAGGATCCATTTTGTTTAAGTATAAGCTAAGTACACCATAACTGGTAAAAAAGGAGCATGGTCAAGATTATGCATACATAACAATTTCATACATGAATATACACACAAACATGCATAAACATACAATGTATACTTTATTTGATGTAAATAGTTCAGTTTGGTGATATCAAAGTACTTAAAATGGCTCTCAGTGGCATAATGTCTCAATACAAAATTCCTCTGCTTATATGGCTGGGATTGATTTTTATATATAATGATTTTATGCCCACAAGCAATACACAAATGTTTTGATCGCCACATATTTTCTGCCATGCAAGCATTACTTTTCAATTAAAACATACAATCAGGAAAAAAATCAATATTTTATAGTGTTTTTTGTTCTAAAAATTACAAGCCAAATATAAGAGTAAATCTGAAGAAAGACTTACAGTTCCTTTGTTGTAGCACAATTATTTAATTACGTATTTCTAGAGTCCCTAAATATACCTAGAAGGATATAATAACAGTATAACTGAGCAAAAAGTAACAGAAAGTAAAAGCAAGGAAATGAAATCACATAAAAGAGAAAACTCAAACCAAAAAATGCACACAGTTTGTAGACATACACTAAAAATTTCAGAAAGCATAATTTACCTTTAATGCTGAAAGTCCAACCTTTCCTGGAGACCTGTTGAAAAATAAAAGCAAGGAGGTGCTGAGTAGTGTAGGTGAGAAGGGAAATAAAAACACTTACTAAAGACAAGCCTCATGCATTAGGGGACTAAAAAGTTCCTGTAAAAATGTAATTAAACAAAAATGGAATTTTTTCCACATACTTTTTGAAGCCCCTCATATATATTTTGTGATTGAAAAAGTCTTGTATGCATATAGAAAATGTGGAAAACTAAAACATACAGAAAAACAAAGTAAAACAGAATCTTAACCACTGAGATATTTTGAGGAATCTCTGAATGATGCAAATGGTTTTCACACTCAGCTGTTAACTGAAAAGGTTGGAAGTTTGAATCTACCCAGAAGCACCTTGAAAGAAAGGCCAAGTGGTCTTCTTCTTTTAAAAAAAAACAAAAACAAAAAAAAAACAGTCTTTGAAAACCCTATGGTCTACTCTGACGGACAAGGTGTCGCCATAGTCAAAAGCCACTTGATGGCAACACAGATACACACACACACATACACACAAGGTGACTTTAAAAAGTTAAAAAAAAAAAGTACTATCTTTTCATTTTTCCATGAACTTGATTTTCTTTTGAAGCTCCCTCATGTGTAGTTTTATAGGATAAGCACTGGACTTCTAACCATAACGTTGATGGTTCAAATCCATCAATGCTCCTTAGAAACTCTATACAGAATTGACTCAACTGCACTTAACAATAACAACATAAATAAACACATTATTAATATAACAAATATGCTGATATATATATAATTCTATACACTTTCATGATGAACTTCCTTAAAACCAAGGAGTGTAATTAATTGTAGATCAATAGACTCTTGTTAACCTGGATTGAGACCTGGTTAACCAGCAGTATGATGAGACCTGGGGACTCCTGGGCCCAGGGGCAGGGACATGGCCCCAGAGGACTAGAATGGACTATGAAGCATCCAGCTGATATGAAGTGAGGAGAGATGCACACGAACACCCATACTTGCAGATAGTACCCATTTGACCTGGTATCAATGGCTGGATAATCAGAACACGACTAGAGGAAGAAAGAAGATGAAGAAAAAAAAAGAAAAAGAGTAATCCACTAGAAGTGGATGAACTTGACCTATGCTTGTGGATGCAGTAGGACAAATCTGTACATTGAGGCTCATTCCCATTCCCTTGGTACACATAGGGTCGACAGGGATGGGAAACTTAAGACATTGGTGGTGGTGGTGGTTTTGTGCTGTGGAGTAGGTACCGACTCATAGCGACCCTGTACAGGGTTTCCAAGGCTGTAAATCTTTACGGGAGCAGAAAGCCTCATCTTCCTCCTGCGGAAGAGCTGGTAGTTTCGAACTGCTGACCTTAAGGTTCGCAGCCCGATTTGTAACCACTACGCTACCAGAGCTCCTTGTCTTTATATATAACTATGTATAAACTATACAGAGTAATTGATTACTTCCTTTTGTAGTGCTGTAGGATATGCACTGACCCGCAAGGTTGGTTTGAACTGCAAGGATGATGATTCAAACTCACTAGAAACTCCTCGGAAATCCTAAACAGAATTGCTAGGAGTTGAAACCAACTTGACGGCACTTACCAACAACCACTCCTCAATCTCCTCATCTATAAAAATGGGCAATACTGTTGTCTTTGTAAGACTGTTATAAGGATTAAGTGAGAAAGTACATGGCCTACACACAATAAATAGTAGCTTTTCGCTTTCTTTTTTAACAGCAGTTTTTTAAAATCCATTGCTGTGGAGTTGATTCCAACTCACAGCGATAGAACAAAGTAGAATTGCTCCACAGGACTTCTAAGACTCTCGCCTTTACAGAAACATGCTGCCACATCTTTCTCCCACAGAGTTCAAACCCCTGACCTGCCATCAGTGCTCCAATAACGGCTTCCTAACAGCTTTGAATTTCTCCATCTAAGCTCACAGCTGGTGAGGTTCACCAAGTTTCTCAAGGCACTTCGGCAGTCTGTCAGTTGTCTGGTGCCTAAGAACAATTTCTGGAACACAGGAAAGATACCCTACAGCTTGTTAAACTCCAGCTCACTCAAAAACAGGGAATATGGGAAAGAAAAAAAAAAGTCAAATTATATGGAGTTAGTAATTAAAATGGGGTCCTGCTTGCATTAATAAATTGGTAAGGTCATTAAACAGAAAACTAACAAGGCACTAGTGTTTGAAGCATATTTTACTCTGGTTTCTGACAGCATATTAAGTCTAAAATTCTCTTTAACAGGGTAGTCTCTAACAACAGAATTATCTTGTGATCAGTTTTTTGATCCATTAATAAAACGTTGTTGTTAAGTGCTGTCGAGTTGATTCCGACCCATAGCAACCCTGTATAGGGTTTCTAAGGAGCAGCTGGTGAACTAGAACTGCGGACTTTGAGGTTCAAACCAACTTTGCAGTCCCGCACATTAACATACATCATCACATCAGGACTACGCTAGTAAAACATAAAAGCATATTTATAATTTGCAAAATTGGCTAAAATGATTTGCATCATTTGCACCAAGATGAGAAAAAAACAGCTCATTTTACCATGAGAAACAGTTAACCATGCACAATTCCCAGACGAAAAGCTTCCCTAATAGGAGCCTTGTAAATGACAATATAACAATGTAAGCATGTGCCCCAAACTTCTAAGACTTGACATGCTCTAGACTTCTTTAGTCTTCACCTGTGGGAACACCACATGATAGTCTGGTCCTGCTTTTTCTTTAATCATCTTGAACATGCTTTGTGCCTTAGCAGTGATCCTCAACATACTGAGAGGGATCCACCTTTCTATTTGGTCCTCAATTCATGTCATTAGCACTTTCTCCATATCTGATATAGGTCCCTGTCGTATTTTCATTAGCCTTGCAATTTTTGTGGAGCCAATTCTGTAACAGCTTGGATAATTTTTCTTTCTTTTGGAGGACTGAAGTGATCATCGAGTACAACATGCTTAAATCACCAGCAATAGCCTTCACTGATTTTCTACCTGCATGTTGTTTAATAACCTTTTGTTTCACTTATAAATTGTTACCTCTCCTTTGCCTCTTGCTGTGGCAACCACTAGCATTGCTTTTGCTACCTTTGGGAACCATGATGCACTTCAGAGTAATTTGTTCAAAAGAAAATGACACAGAGAGATAATGCTGTAACACTCAAGAGATCCAGATACGTGAGATTGGATAGAAAGTACAGTACAATACATACATATGCAGTTACATAAGCATTATACACCAGGTGGTACTATCACTTTGTATGCAAGAGACATGAGACTAATGCATGCAGGAAACTGTTGAGTTAGCTACATCTTATTCTCTAACCAGAACTTAGGAACTCTATTATAATCTTATGGGACCACAGGCCTATAGGTGGTCACAAGTGGCTTGGATAGATGAACGGACATTATGCGACACATGGTTGTAATTTAAATTTCAAATTAGTAAATAGTATGGCCAGAATGAAGTACTGCATTAGAAACGTCCGCAGTACAAGACTTCTTTAAAGTATTAAAGAACAAAGATATCAGTTTAAGGAGTAAAGTGCACCTGACCCAAGACATGGTATTTCGATAGCCTCTTATGTATGTGAAAGTTGGACAATGAATAAGGCAGATCATAGAAGAATTCATACATTTCAGTTACGGTGCTGGAGAAGAATATTGAAAGGACCACAGACTGCCAGAAGAACAAACAAATCGGTGTTAGAAGTACAACCTGAATGCTCCTTCGAAGTCAGGATGCCGAGACTTCCTCTCTCATACTGCAGACATGTAATCAGAAGGAACTAGTCCCTGGAGGACATCATACTCGGTAAAGTGGAGGGTAAGCGAAAAAGAGGAAGACTTCCCAACGAGATGAATTGGCAGTGACAGCAGCAATGGGCTCAAGCGCAACAACAGTTCTGAGAATGGCACAGGACCATGCAGTGTTGCCTTCAAATTATGTACAGGGTTGCTATGAGTCAGAATCTACTCAATCACTTTGCACTTAACACTTAACAACAACGACATGGCCAAATGTAAGAAGTGGCCACTTAAAGTGAGTAAAATACATGCAAAACTATAAAACACAGACATTCCAAGCACAGTAGCAGAGGGGCTTTTAGTGTGGAGACAAACAATCCCCTGTACCTTAAGGTCCCTGAAGGCATCACCATATTAAAAGATAGTACACCCTACCCAAAGAAACAAGGAGCTCTGGTAGCATAGTGGTTATGAATCGGGCTGCGAGCCGCCAAGGTCAGCAGTTTGAAACTACCAGCTGTTCCACGGGAGAAAGATGAGGCTTTGTGCTCCTGTAAAGATTTACAGCCTCGGAAACCCTGTACAGGGTCGCTATGGGTAGGAACTGACTCTACGGCACATAACAACAACACCCAGAGAAACAGTGACACCAGAGATGGAGGCAGAGTATGACATGGAGAGACGGAGCAGCTCAGGACTCTAGATCCAGAGAGGGAGAGGGGTTGTGTGCTGAGGACCCTTTGGTTGGTTGATGATGCATGGAGGGGACTACACTCATGGCAATGAAACGATATACAATAGGATGAATGTAAAGCTAATGTTCTCCCATGTAAACTATCACATAATTCACTATAAAACATTTAAAATGAATAAATAAAATAAAAGATAGTACAGTATTTGATCATGATAAGTACTCTCACTAAAAAAGGGAAAAATTTTAAGAAGGTAAGGCGTCCTGGTCGTATGCTGGGTTGTGCATGGGTTCACTAATAGCAGACCTTGTGGTTCAAACCCACCTTGTGGTCCAGTGCTTATCCTACAGTTCGACACCAGGGCTCCACAGGCCTGCCTTTAGGTTTTCTCACTCTCTCCTTCTAATGTGTTGCTTCTACTTCGCATAGATGGCCAGATTTCCAAAAAATGCAATTTTACAGGAAAGGAAGAATCTAGAGATTCTGAAAGTCTCCCCAAGAGTTATGTACATAATTGCAATGTAGACTTTGTGACATTTTATTTCTTTATCTTGGCTTGCCCAAAGGCTTT